TTGCGAGTGAGTGAATACGTATTGAAATTCATTCGCTGGGAGTCTGTGGCGCAGAGTGAATTGAACATTTTTTGTTCTAATAGTTGAGAATGGATACTTCCAAAGTCAAAGTAACAAGAAGATTTCTTTTACGAAGACCCCAGCGTTTCTATTATATTTGAATCGATGCATTCTTGTTAGGAGTAAGGGCGTTAATTTAGTGTTACTTTGGAAAATAAATGTAAATGAATCATTTACACTTAAAAAATAAAAATAAATTCGTCATTTATATTTAAAAAATAAATATAAATAAATCAAAAAAAATTTATCTTTATTTTATAAAAGTAAATGATTCACTTATTTATTTCTACCGTTATTTCTACCTTACGGTTCTACCGTTATTTCTACCTTACGGTTCTACCGTTATTTCTACCTTACGGTTCTACCTTTATTTCTACCTTACGGTTCTACCGTTATTTCTACCTTACGGTTCTACCGTTATTTCTACCTTACGGTAGAAATAAATAAATAAATATAAATGAATCATTTACTTTTATAAAATAAAGATAAATTTTTTTTGATTTATTTATATTTATTTTTTAAATATAAATGACGAATTTATTTGTATTTTTTAAGTGTAAATGATTCATTTACTTTTATCCATTATTATAAATGAACAATAAAACTAAATTAACACCGCTAGTTAGGAGCAAAATTTTGCTTATCTTTCTTAATGAGTACACATACTATAGTGTGCACGTACTTATTTTGAATGGATACAGATCATTTTCTTTGATTAACATCTCATTAACCAATTAAAAGTAAGCCGTGAGCCATTGTAAATAGATAGAGCCAAGCGTGTAAAATAACTGTGTCAGCAAAAAATATTTTTATCGGTATCCTCAGTGCAAAAAATCAAACGTTTTTAAACATTCTCTTTTTTTTCGCGTTCTATAGAGAAAAAAAAGAAAAGTTTTATACATGACTTAGTTTCATGAAGTTTATTCTTATCAATGGTTAACTTTAATAACATCTATACAAGAGAAGTTACAGTTAATTTTCTTTATAGGTGGCAGAAATTAAAGTGGGAACATCAGTTTCGAGCACTCTTATTTTCGACTTTTTTGATTAACGGTTAATCTGGAAAAAGATATGAGTATCTAGAAGAGTTTTCCATCAGAAGGTGTGTATGCGGTTATAGTTAAAAGTTATGGACATAGGATCACTGGAAAAGTAAGATCAGGATTTAACTGAAAATGTTTTCCAAACGACTTAGTCTGATAGAGTAAATATTTTTGAGTGAAATGAGATACTGTTCGTTCTAGCTATCAGCGTCAATGAAAAAGGTCGAAAATAGGAGTGCTCTAAACTTATGCCATCAACTGATTAAATGTGTATTTTTTTATTTGAAATATTGCAGAAAAATTTTGTTTGTTAAGAAAATATTAACAACGTTTAAGTAGAAACATACTGACATGAGACATATACGAAGAATTAAAAGATCGTATTCTTGCCGGAGATTTCTTGTTCCAACACATCACTAACTTGGTTCTGGGCAACCAAGCAATGTAGAATCTCTAATCATAGCCGTAGCTGCTATTAGAATATATACTTATTATTTATTATTCGAAAAGCGAATGTTTCATTAAAGAGAGTGTCGATTGACAAAACTCTCCCATTTTTGTTGCCATAAGATGAATTTTACCTAATCACTTTTATTTCAACGATTCTTATAACATGTCTTTCTCAATAGGTACGATATATGCTCAGTCTTCAGGACCCTGGATGCCTTGCAGGAGAACAGAGAGACAGGTTTCTTTATTCTTTCATTATCTCTCTATGATTTGACTTCTTACAGTTACATGTAAACGAAAAATCCATATTTATAAGAAAATTTCATATTTTAGACGAAAAGTTCGTTAATGAATCGGTATTCATAGTTTGTAGATTAGGTGTTTATAGTTTTGAATTCATCTTGATCTTTTCTTTATGATGTCATCCACTTTTTATTGATATTGCATTGCAGCGAATAACGAGTCAAATGAAATGTTTATTACACTATTGCTTGTAATATTAGTTATTTTGATCATTTTGGTGTTATTGTTTGTATCATTTATAGTTTATTTCCAATATGTTTCCCAAAGTTGCTTACGATTTTGTTATTTATCTAAAATATCTTCTGTGACTTCAATTAAATTTTCTCTACTTGAACAAAATCGTCAAACATATAATCCAGCTAATTCACAATGTCAGTGTCATCCGCATTATGCCACCATTATTGAACCTCGACACGATTGTTTTCACAGATCAGAAACATTATTTATTAGTTTTGCTGGTGGTGCTTTGCTTGTCGGAGGATTTACATTTACAGAATGGAAATCAACATTTACGAAATTTGATTTACGAGCAGACACATTATTTTTAACTGATCCTGCTCAATCATTTTATTTGCAAGATTCAACCTATTCATGGCAAGGATTGAAATATTATCGATCTTTAATACAAAAATATTCCATATTATATAAGCGTGTTATACTAATTGGAGCTTCGATGGGAGCGAGTATGGTTTGTATGTGTAGTGATCTTGCTACACTTTCAATTGCATTCAATCCAATATTAGATCCGTCATTAGCACCTAGTTGGTTTTATTATAGAACACTACAAAGGTATCCGAAAACAGTTATTTTGGAACAAGTGCAGACAAATATTGATAAAATTATGAGTGAGAATCAACACTCTATTTTACATGTTCATTGGAGTGAAAAATCACCACGTGATATTGTTCAATCGAAATTAATTTCAAATCAAAATGTAATATTTTTCACTGATGCAGATAAATGTAACAAACGTAATGGAGTCTATTTTTGGCTTCATAATTGCAATACTCATGGTTTACCACAACATTTAAAACGTCGAGGCATTTTAACTCAACTTTTACAACACCATTTGAATGCTTTAGGATAACATTAATTCATGCTTGTTATAAACAAAATTAGAGCGAACCAGCCATGGTTGATTATTCAATAATGTTTCTGTTAACTAATCATCAGAATGTGGAAGAAATTCGCCTTCATTTGATTAAGCCACATTGAAAACTAAAATTTTTCCTAACATCTGGTCACTAGTGACAGATGGTCTTAGATGACGGTGGTATTTATGTACATATTTTTGTCTCCATATTAAACGAATACACATATAATCCCGACTCAGCGACAGTTTCAAACGCGTCTAGTACTCATTTTTTTAACTATGAAAGCCTGGCTTTTTCGAGTAAATCAAAATTTTATTTGTTTTTGGTCAAAAGAAATACACGCAAGTTTGCAAAATATCCATAGCATAGAAGAGAGTGATGCATCTAATCTTTATTGACCTTTCCTTATTTCCCATCTCGTTGCGTTTAGTTTGAACTTCAAAGTCGAACTACATGACCAGGTCTTCGAAATAACTTTCAAGCGATCTGACAAGGGCTGACGCCAGCGGAGGATGACCCACTTAATAATCGAAAAAAACTTTTTTTCACACACAACTTTCTTCATCCACCCTCAAAAAACATCTTTTTAGTGAAATTTTTGGAAAAATCTTCAAGAGTTTTCGACCCCTCCCCAATTGTAAGTGTATCGAGCCAGCTCGGGTCAGACCATCAAGAATAAAAGACGAAATTCTAGAGTCTCGACAGTTATACTGTTGATGGTCTCACTCACATGCTGCTCGGGTCAGACCATCAAGAATAAAAGACGAAATTCTAAAGTCTCGACAGTTATACTGTTGATGGTCTCACTCACATGCTACTCAGTAAATGGCATCCGACTTCTTGACTCGCATAAAACGCTCACTCCAGCTCCGGTGATTTTCATCAACCGCCCCGGAGTCGGAGCTGCCCATCTCGGTTCTAGCGAGGTGTCAACTGATAACTACCAAGTGCTAATATATGTCAAGTACCACTTTTAAACTAACTACAAAACAAGTAATGATTGATTTTGTATGTGATTAGCGCGAGCATTGAGTTTTAGTAGGCTTTCCTAAAAGACTGATTTATCCACTATGTTAATAAGACGCTAAAGATCTCATCCTATCGATCGAAGTGTGATTCTCGACACTCATCATAAATTAACTATTTAGTAGATGTCTGCCTGTTGTAGGTGTAGGAGTAGGCTATCATGCATACTACTCAACCATGCTACAATACTTAAAAGTGGAGGAATGAATTTTCTGTATCAAAAGATTTTCCAAATGAATGTTTCTTGTCTTTCTTAATTGTTTTGTCTTTTTTTAACTGTATTTGTCTTTAATTTATTTATCTAGTTAATTTCCTTCAATTGCTTGCGACAGTTCGACAGCAGTTGTCTTTTACTCAAATAGTTGAAAGTTTAAATACCTTCATCAGTTCATTTTCAATTCTACAATACGAGCTTTGTTAGTCTGTTAGAATTTTGAAATATGAATGTTCGCGTTTTCCTGCCTTCCCTATTTTATTTTTTATTTCTACTTATCTCTCATATTCAGAATAATGTCTGAGAACTGGGTCTAATGATGCGTGAATATCGAGTCATAATGGGCCGTGCTCCGATCGCAATTTCATAATACGTTGACATCATTGTAATTTTCTGCTGGATAAATCATTCAACTGAAACGATAAATAATCGAACGTAGTTTTCATCGTTTGAAACAAGGCAATGGCCGATTGGAACCCATCGCAAACAATTGTGTTCATCATTGGCACACTGAAATGGGAAGACAGCGATAGTTTTGGTTCGTTCGACAGTGATAATCGTAAAGATGAGGAGTTGATGAAATTTTTTTTGGCTGCTGGCGTGCCCGATGAACACGTACACTACTATTGTGATGAAGAAGCGGTGACAAGTACGATTAAAGACGACCTGAAATATTATGTTTCTCGAGCACAGGAGCAAGATACATTGTTTTTCTATTATTCGGAGTCATACAGGAATAACGGTTGATGTAGAGAACAGAGTGTAGCCAAAACTATTCTTACTCTTGTCAACGTCCATTTTAAATATCTCATGCGGTCATGNGCTGGCGTGCCCGATGAACACGTACACTACTATTGTGATGAAGAAGCGGTGACAAGTACGATTAAAGACGACCTGAAATATTATGTTTCTCGAGCACAGGAGCAAGATACATTGTTTTTCTATTATTGCGGTCATGGCTATGGAAGTGATGATGATGGTTACTTCTTTGCTACATACGATTGTAGTGAAAATGTGAAAATGCCGATGAAGCGTGTAGTGGATACAGTCTATCGCCATTTCCGAGGGAAAACTGCTATATTGATGGCAGATTGTTGTAAATCTGGTTATATTTGTAATTTGGTGAATGATTACAATAAAAGTGAGGTGAACAAGCGTTTACGTGTTGCTGCATTTGGCTCAGTCTACTACAAGAAAACATCGACGGGCAACTGGACATTCTCAATTGCACTACTAGCAGCGTTAAAGGGTCAACCATATTTAGAATTTGATGATGATGGTACGGTGACACTGCAAGAATTGGAGCGACATATTATGTATGATATGGCGTTGTTTGACAAGCAATATGCATCATCCTGTCTACCAAATCATATGAGAAATTGGATTCTAACGTGTCCCGTGAAGCCTAGGAAACATCCACGAATTGGCGAACGCATATTGGTCGACTGGAATGGTGTGGATTATATGGCAAGAATTGAAAAGTATCGACCGGGTGAATTTTATGTTTGTTATTTTAGTTATGCTAGTAATGAACGTAGTTGGATTAGTGAAGATGAAGCGAAACCATTGGACATTGTTCACTATACACCAGGAACACGATTAGATATTCTCAGTGACGATGACGGGAAATGGTATCCGTGTCGAGTGTTAACAGGTTTCTGTGGCTTACATTTAATCAAGTTTGATGATTATGACGATACGTACAACGAATGGGCAACACAAGAACAGTTGAGGTTTCGATCATAGTACAATAAACAAAATTAGAAACTTAGAAATGATATGGCAAGAGTATTAGGAAAGATTATGAGTTTGACATTTTTTCTATACTCATATGCACTCGATTTTGCTCTTTATTTTGAAACTTTGAATAGTTTGAAGTACGCGCATCAACAGTGCAGAGAAAAACTGAACTAAACCTTTGAATTCCTAGAAGCAAATGCTAAGCATACACCGATAACGATAATACATCGATGTATTCCTCTCACAATATTTTCCACTGACACTTATTACCCTGAATCAAGAAAATGACTATAGACTGACTGCTAATCCTCTTTTGTTGTTCATTTGTTATCTGACATTGGGTTAGGATTTAACTGAATGTTCTGATCTGATTTATCTCAAACTATTTCCTTTCAATAATTTTAACGCTAGACTCTCAACCACTAACACACATGCAAAAAAAGTGTACTATTTTAGTCAGCATTCTTCTCTCTAATGAGTAAAAAATAACATAATATTTTAAGTACGCAACCGACTCTCACGGACGATTTGTAGAAGGTACTAAAGGATGAGATTGCAGTCAAGAACGGATTCCACGTCTGTCGGTATAAGAGACAGCTTTATCTGATACATCAAGGTGTTAACTAAACTTCATCCAATAACGAAACATATAATCTCTTAAACAGAATTCTCGACCTAAAACCAATGAGGTAAGATCGTTCCACTCCCTTACACTGTAAACTATCCTCAAACCTGTACCTTATATGTGCTCTATCATTATTTTCTGTTTTTCTGTAAAAAAAAGAACTATGTACACATCAAAATGATAAACCGCGGTAAGGTGTATGCTAAAAATGGTTTGCGCATTAACCTGACCTTATTTTTTGGAATCGAGTGATAAATGATCCCTGACGCCTTATATATGTTGGGTGGGCCTAGTGGCACCACCTGTGTTATCACCAACAAGTTATAGACATCACCGCTGGTGTCACCAAGAAGCAATTGACACCACTATGTAATGTATACTACAGCTGTTGACACGTCTAATTGGTGTCAATTAAAGCTATTGACACCAGTTTACGGAAACTCAGTCTTGTGTGGAGACTAAGAATACGTCCTCGCAACAGCAAAATCTTTTTATAACAAAACAAATTGATGAGAAAATCAGCTCAGGTAAAATTAATCGGTATTCGATAGTGTGCATTTTGTAGAAGATTATGCAGGTTTGTTCAACCGCTACTATCTCGAAGAAAAAAGGTCACTGGATTTTTACAGGTTGAATAATAGTTGACAGAAGCTAACTAGAAATATGTTCTAGATCTAGTTTCAGCTGAAGGAGGCTTTACTCTTGCCGAATATGATCATCTAAAAATTTTTTATAATCACAAGGACCAAAAAATCTTACCACTGCAGCTAACAATCGTCTCGGATCGGTGATTTTTGTTAGTTTTCTTTCTGTCTTTGATAAAATTTGATTCTGGGTACTAATCATCAGTCTTTACGAATTGAACATGCCTCTTTCTTTATAGAGATGGATCTTCTCTTGGGTTCAGTGTAGATCCTTCTCAATACATATGGGGTCGAAACAGATTTGGCTGGAGTTTTTTTGCAGACGAGTTGAAGAAAAATGTTTTTTGCAAGTTACTTATAAGCATAAGGACATGACTAATTCAAAAATATCTCTGCTCAGGTTCTTTCTGTTACCAAGATAGGAGACATTATCCGTAAAATAGTCATGACAGCTGACCAACAGTATAGAGACATGTTGCTAGGTGCGAGCTTACTTTGCATCGGTAGAAATCGTGAAAAAAATCTGAACTCCAACATGGTTAAAAATGGAGAAAGTCCAAAATTTGCGCGCGCTCTTCGTCCATGGAAGATGTTTTTATAAAATTACAGTTGCAAGAGAAATTACGTATGAAGTTACAGCTGCCTAAGTAATCAATTTCAGCAATCTTGCCTTCGGAACAGAGAGTCAATTTTTAGGAGAGAATGTCTCCTATTTCGGGAACGGAAAGAACCTGAGCAGAGATAATTTTGAATTAGTCGTGCTTATAAGTGACTTGCAAAAAATATTTTTTTCAATTCGTCTGCAAAAAAAACTACAGCCAAATCTGTTTCCACTTGATATGACACCACTGGATGCTGTTTTCGTGAATAACAAAAGTGTTGTGTTGTTGCTTCACAAGGATTCATATTAGTAGCGACTTTGCTTCGGTTGTATGTTCATTTTCTTCCGAAATATTTTTGTCAAATAGTAAGTCATCTTTTGTATAATGTTGCTGTTTTTTTAATCTGGTCACTAGGAAAACATCGCTGAATTATACGACAGAGCAAAAATAGTTTTAGATAGTTTAGCTAAGTTCGCGGACGATAAGATAATGCCAGTAAGTATTTCGAAAACAAAAGCTCTGCTAGAGCTCTGTGAGCAAGGCTTGCTCATAGTGTAGTCGCTACACATCGACGTGCACTTGAGTATAGAAGAAATTTGATTAATAAATAATCCGTTAGAACACTTTGTAACGGTAATTGTAATCTTGTTGTAAATATTGTTGTCTACTTTTAAGTTTAATGTCCGTTCGTGGGATTGTAATGGCATATGTGAAAAGAATCGTCCTGCAACGAGCTTTAAAAGTAGGTGTGCCGATTTTTGTAATTTCTCCAAAAGGGTTTTCTAGAAAACTGGGTGTCTAGAAAAACTCTGAAAAACCTTTTTGCCTTTCGCCACAATCTTTCGCCAGAAATTTATTACAACGATATGTGTAAAATTTCATCCAAATGCTAAATTTGGAAATTTTGTCATCTGCTAGTAGTTCAACGGTAATCCCCACATACTTGAAGACCATCCGCTATTGGAAGAACGTTTTGGCGAAATTTTTTTGAAAACTTCCCTGTAAGGGCATTTACCGATATTTTTGATAGAGGCTGTATGAAGCTAAAACCGAAACAATTTTAAAACAAGATCTTTAGTAAGTGGCTAAATAATTAAAATTTTATAGAACTATTGTAGAAACGTTTCGCTAGAATTGCAATAATCAAAACCATAAACCCTTTGAAAGACTACAACCATTGTGACAATAAAATAGATAAAATTTTGCAAAATTAATTGAAAAACTAATAAGATTACTAAAATCTATTGACAGTTCGATATAATTGATACTTAAGTTTATAAAATTCCCTGTGGTTGTTGAAAAATTTATACTCAAAAAGAAGCAAATTAAATCTATTTACTTTAAATACAGACCTTCTAAGAGGCATGCATCAGTTTTGGTTAAAGATCGAAAAAAAGAGAAACCGATAAAATAAATCAAAAGGAGTAACTTATGTTGTTTTGGATCTCGCAGATCAAAAGCACGGACGGTAAGTAGTACTATCTTGTCTTGAAATTGTTTGTTTGATAAACAAAAATTGGTTGTTTGTGTTATGACTTCGGTGACGCAGTAGGAGATCTAGAATTTTTCTTTGATACATGATCCTTCGTTCAAGTCCCAGTCGAATCGTACACGACGGAAAAAGACAGCAGAAGTTCTATCGCTTTTTCTTCATGATTTCTCAATGTGCGTTTTCTATGCTTTATTTATTCTACCTTTTTGTCACATTTTTATCATGTTCACGGTTTTTCTTCTATGTTTATTTTTTGAGGACTTTTCGCTCACGTTTTTTTGTGAACAGATTTCCAGCAGACACTAATTCTCACCTAAAACTTGAGACACGAAAAATTTATCTAGTCAGACTTTTCGCAAAACTTTTTTCATTCTGTGAAGTGAACTGTAGAATCATTACGAATGTGTCCTTAGCGATGACATTGATCCTGAGTACCACGCCTCGGGATGGCTACTTCTTTGTCAAGTCTTAATGACCTATTTCCAAAATGGAGACAAAAATAGGAGCGAAATACCTCTAAAATAGTAACAGCATTTGCCTTACATTTCAAATTTGTACATAAAGCAGTTAGAGTTTATAAAAGATAATTAAAAATCGATACATATCACCGGATCGAAAAATTTCAAAAGCTTGTTCGGTCGAAACCGATTGCAGATTCGTTTTCTCCATGGTTGATTATGTGGTACGCAATAACTTTTGGATCGGGGTACTTTAGAAAAAAATTTTCCCATGGTCTTGCTCAAAAATTTTTCAAAATGTTACCGTATGGGACCAAAGGCAAAACGATGTCGAAAATTTTTTCTGAAGTACCCCGATCCAGAAGTTATCCCGTACCACATAATCAACCATCGTGAAGACGAATCTGCAATCGGTTTTGACCGAACAAGCTTTTAAAATTTTTCGATCCGGTGATATGTAACTATTGTAAAATTTTAAAACATTTCTTAAAACTTGTAAAATTGAATAGAGTCAATTAATTTTGTAAAATCCAATAATAACTTATTAGAAAAAAACTAAATACTGTACAAAATTAGACTATTCAACTCAGACATATGTTTATTTTGAATTCGCATAAGGAAAAATAGATTTCACTACCAATTTAAAGTTTGTTTCTTCCTATGTCCATTTTCGACTGCTTCATCGGATCCTTCCCTGTGGACATCCTATACGTGTGTATCCTAAATAAAGAAATGGATTGATAATTCTTTGTTCTTCAGTTGCTTTCATTGCACGATAGAATGAATTTTCCATCAGAGTTGAAATTGGACTTGTCATTGCACTACAAATGTTCCAGTTGAAATTTTAAATAAATCAAATAATACAGCAAAACGATTTTGAGAAATTAATACAGCAGCCGATAATGAAAAAGCTGTAGTAATACTGCGAGCGCCGAAATTATCAGTGCGCCGAAATTGACTTCCGAATTCAGTATAAGCATATAATAGCAACTGAATTTCAATGTTTGTTGATGAATTTAATTTAATCTTTTCGAAGCAGCAAGTATCAACAAATAATCGAGCAAGTTTAAAACCAGCAGATTTATTCGTAACGACAATGGCATTCCCTTTATCCACTTTTGAATTCACTAATGAATGTTCTTTTAATAGTGTGGAAATAGCATTTAATTCTTCTGAATTTAAGTTTGGAATCTCCTTATCAACTTTCTTCTTCAATTTATCACCAAAATCATTTAATAATATTTTAACTCTATTAGCTTTATCCGAGTTTTTCAGTAATGAGTTTTTTCCCATACAATGATACATATATTCAGTATCTGCTTTAATATTCAAATTATTAAATTTATTAAGATTAATCGCATATTTCCAACCTTTTGCTAAAAGATTTTCTTCAGCTAATGATAAAGCCCGATATGAATAATTATAAACAAATTTATTATTAAATTCACCTTGATTAACAGGATGTTTAATGCTAAATATTGTTTATTATGACGTACGTACAGCTATAATTTTTTTTTCTTTATGAATTAATGTATTAATATATGATTCAATCTCAATTCAAGTTAACAGCGTTAATTAACAGCGTTTTGTATTCTTAATTGGCAATCTAACATATCTAAATTTAATTTCCTTAATCTTTTTTGTTGTTTTTTGAAGAGATCATATAGCATAGATCTAACTAACTCCTGATATTTCCATGTTCGTACAAATTGTATATTATATGGTTTGAATCTAATTGATTTATGTATTACATTGTAAATACCCTAGTCGACTTTCTTGCGAGGGCTTTCTTGCCCAAGATCTTGCGCAAGAAATGTCACAAGATCTTGCTTTCTTGGTGCAAGAAGTCTCTTTGATTTATGATGACTATTCTTGCTCTTATTTCTTGCAGGGAATCACCCTAGTAGAATCCGCGCTTCATTGCACGTCGCGAAGCCATAGTAATCTTGTCACAATCTTGCCGGTTTCCATTCTTTAACTAGAAGAGTGAGAAACATTTCTAACGCAG